ATGGCCGAGTCACGGTCCTCGTTCGGCGGATCTGAGTATTCCGCTTCATGGCTCTGTACTTTCGCCATTCCGGTACTCTTTTCTTTTGCGCCTTACTCTTCCTTATTCTTTTCTTTCTTAACCATATTTTCCATGGGTGTTCTATATTACTTTAAGAGAGAGTTTTCTTTATGTTCTACCGTTTTTACCTTTTACGCTAGTTTCAATCGTGTTCCGCAGAGCAGTCTTTTCTCCTTCCTTCTACAACATGGCGCCACCCGGAAGTCCTTTGTTTATATTTTTAATAGTGTAATTCTGTAAAGACAATATGTCTGGTGGTCCAGCTCTGATTCACATATCTTGCTAAATTGCGGGTTTGAATATTGCAATACTTTCCTATAACATAATAAACCTGCAGAAAGAAATTACTAATAAAATATCTTACATATGCATAGTTGTATGGTCTATGTAGAGATTTTTCTTAGCTTTGATTGTATATCTCACAATTTTGTTATCATTGTTTATTAAACTCTGAAAGCTGTGTGGCTTTGTTCATATTCTGTCCGAGAATGTGGTTAGATGTGCCCCTTTTTTTTTTGAGCACCTGCCCCTTTAGTGATCTCTGCACGGCCCTAAACAGATAAACCAATTATATAAAAGTGAATACCTATAAACTTCAGACTTGGTTGAAAAAATTAAAACTCACAAGTAGTACAACCAATTATAACTCACAGATTAGTTTCTTTGGCTATGGTTCAATGAAAAACTAGATCAAATTACAGCTCTTGGGTTTCTGTTTAAAGTCATGAACTGTTTGTGGCCCCCCTCTGGATGTTGGGAAATATTTCCCACAGATCTTGTCCAGGAAAAGGTTTACATTTTTACTTTGGAGTTTATCTATAGGTTGATTCAATAAGATATGAAAGTTGAGAAAGAGCCTGAAGGTTAAAACAAATGTGATTATTAGACTGGAAATTTATGAAAGACTTACTTAATTTTGGAACAAACTCTAAAGGTAGTTAAAATTGCACAGTTACAGCTGGCAGAAAAATGTAATATGAGTAGCATGCAGTGGAGAGAGAATGCCCCAGCCAGGGACCTAATCCTAGCAGCCCTTCTGCCCCCCGCCCCCCACCCTGCACTAAATATCTCTGAAACCCAGAAAAACAACAGTCAACAGTGTAGCTCTGTTTCACCCTCAAAGCTGAAACAGAACTGTGGTTAGGAGTAAAGGTTAGCTTAGTTGAAGGCTAGTTGTTTAATAGTCAATACAAATCTGATCTGATTGAAGAACTGTCACTATAACTACCGTTGAAACTCAGACATCCTGTTGTAATGCGTTCTAGGTTACCTTCAGGAAGCCTACCTGTGGACAAAGCAAGTTCTGTCCATCATGGAGAAGTCTATGGTCCTTCTGCAGGAAGTGACAGATGGTTCACTTTATGAGGGTGTGGCCTATGGGACCTACACCACCCGTTCCCTATTCCAGTACATGTTTCTGGTTCAGCGCCATTTTGCCATCGGCCACTTCAGCCATCCTTGGCTACTGAAGCACTTTGCCTTCCTCTACAGGACCATCCTACCAGGTAACTGGGTGAAAATCTTAAATAATTTTAGAATTTAATTTGTAACAATACACCCTGAGAAAAGTTTTCATGCTTCTAAAATGTCAGTGAAGATTTCATGTAATAGACCAACAAAACGTAGGGTATAGTTATATATATATATTTTTGGTAACAGAAATATGTGGATGTTATCTCTTTCAGTGCTGTAACAACTCATTTGTGGCATTTCTCCACCAGCATTCACATGCAAACATTGACATTTTGCTCAATCCTCTTTACAAAACAGTTCAATGTGATTGGTTGGAGAAGGTCTCTTCCCAAAGATTCTGAATTGGATTTATGTCTGGACTTTGGTTGAGCCATTTTAGCATATGGATATCATTTGATCTAAGCCATTTCTACAAGACTAAAACATCTAATGAGGTTGTCAGTATCACAGGAGCACCACAGGGACCTGTATTCTCACCATTCCTTTTCACTCTGCATGTGTTAGACTTTGTGTGTAAACGTTCTGTCATTTGCAGAAATTCTATGCGGTCCATGATGGTGAGCACAAAGAGCTGGTGGACTGCTTTGTGCAAGGGTCTGTAGTCTGCTCCTGGTCTGATTCACATTTGCATCTGAACTGCACCAGAGTTCACTTCAACTGAACTGAGACCTAGCTTTTTAGGTCTCAAGTCACACTCTTTCAGAGTAAACAAGCTTTTACTTTAATATTTATACATAAACAGTCACTTTGTGACTTTTCAAATAAAATAACCATGTTTATTAGTACAACATAAATAAAGATGTAAACAGTGACGAGTAATTATGCTCAAATTTGCATAAACAATTTCTTTAAATGCAAAATCAATATTCTCAAGAGTCGCAATAGTTTTACTCAAAAGAAAAAAGTATAGTGGAGTCAAACTATTCACATAAGTACAGAAAGCTACTCAAATTATTGTGTTCATTGGAGATAAAACTGTCTAATTCACAAATGCACAGGACAAGATTCACAAAGCCTGACGCCATTAGCTTGCAGAAGTGCTCGGTAGAACAGCTTACTCACTTATATCGCTAACTTGCACAATAACATTGCTTAAAATTAATAATCATAACATGAGTATAAATAGCTAGATGTGTTAAGACATATTTCACTTAACACTCTTTTGATGCTGCCAGAAGCCAGGCTGAGGTCTAAACTGTCTTGTGCTTCGACATGGCTACAGCGCTGTTGGAATGGGTTAATGTGATTGGCTGAAACATAGGTTACCCCAAAGTGGGGATCTGATCATATGATTGGCTGAAACAAGGAAGCTATCTGATTGGTTGGTGATCATCCAATCAGATAATTTATTAAAAAAAGACATTTGTGGATGGAGATGTCAAGGAGTCTCAAAATTCACACACAAATGCAACACAACTCACAGGCCAGAAGCAGTTTGCAAATCAAGAGATGTTTGTGTTTTCATCAAAAATGCAAGTGTGGATGTTGTTGTGTACATTTGTGAATTATGAGAGTTTTAGTTCCATAGTTTTCTAATGTACATCTCTGCACAGCAGCAACGTCTCCATTGCGTATTTAAACCAGCGCGAGCGTCTTAGCGCCCATGTTGTGTTTAAAGGCAACCTGACATGTTACATTATGACATGTTAATGTAACCAAAGAATAGAATTTATTGAACAAATAATCTTTTCAGGGGCCTTACCAAAAAAAAAAAAAAATGAAAAGCTAGCCAACAAAAAAAAAAAAAAAAAATTCATGTAGAGCTTTATTGTGTGTGTGTCTGGTTCATACGAAAAATAGATGAAAAAGATCTGGCTGGGATGGCAACACCATCCCAGTCAGATGACTGGCTGGGATGACTGCTAGGTCATCCCAGGCCCAGACTCGGCATCTGTGAACGACAGATGCTGAGTCATCTGTCGTTCACAGATGACCCAGCAGTCTCACGCTCTTCCTCCACAGGCAAACGTGCACCTCATCAATGTTTCTCTTGCTGACTTTTGTTCATAATACTGGCATTTTTAAACTCTGCAACAGGTCTGAAATTCTTAAGCCTGGGAATTTCCCTGGCATTCCCCTAGCAACTGTAATGGGCTCCATTTTAAAACAAAGTTTATTAGTCTTTATAACTCCATAAAATAATGAGCACCTCTTGATGAAAATTAAATATTTCACTTAACATGACTAACTTTCCTATCATGACTAGGAAACAGTCATTTTAACTCACAACACCCACCAAACAGAAGTTTGGTTTCTAAACCATTACTGCATTACAGTCGACTTAGCACATAAAAATTCTTATAAATTACATTACAAATCACCAATAATGCTCAGCTAGCAGGAAAACATTATATTATCAGGCACAAAGAAGTCAGGCGATATGGAGAAGGTAGGCAGAGTCTGGCATGTCTCAGCAACTCTGAAAATATGAAGCCCAGGAATTCCCCTAGTAACTGCAATTGAAAGGCTGCAGTAAAGTGATGTACTTAGCTCTTAAAGGGACACACTACCCATGAAATAAACACAATACAGAAAAGCAAATAAAATAGAATAAACAAATAAAGTGCAGCTGGGTTACATCAACAATGGAATCTGCTACTGTCAAACTTTTGAGTCTAGTTTTCAGGGTCTGCGTTAGGTCTGTGGAGAAATAGATTTCTGGTAAAATGCGCATTTCTTCTACTTTCTCTGTTGCTTATTACATTCATACTTTGTGAGAATGTGGTTTTTGTGTGTATTTATTAGTTAATTTAGTCCCTGTGCTAGCCCCTTATTGTTTCCGTCTATCTCTCGTTTTCCTGATAATCCCCTGTATATTTAGCCTCACCTGTTCTTTGTTTCCCTGCTGGATCCTGGTCATTGTCTTTTTGTCATTGTTGCATCTACCTGAATTTGTGTTCAGTCCTTGTTCCTCCCCTGTTCTGGCGTTTTGTTCCTTGAGAAACTACATTAAACACATTATTTCACTTTATATTCTGGGTCTGATCGCTGTCTCAATCCTCATCCACAAACTACTTCATGACATACTTGTTTCCCAGACAAATGATTGACTCTGATTACATGCTGTAGTTATTATTACTGGTTTCAAAGAAACCATGGTTTTTCTGAGGTAAATGCAAAGTACAGAATAGTGTGAACAAAATCATACTTGTGACCACAGACTGTGTATTTTCTAAGGAGCCCTTTGTAGATCACTGTGTAATCTACATATTCTTTAAAGAGATTTTTAAATGGACTTTTTTTCCACTTTGCCTTTTTGTTGTGCCTGAAGTTCTGTCTCTGTTTTAATCCTCCCACCAGGATTTCAGCGGACCGTGGCCATCGCAGATTCCAACTACAACTGGTTCTACGGGCCAGAGAGCCAACTGGTCTTCTTGGATCGCTATGTGTTGCGTAATGGCAGTGGGAATTGGCTGGCAGATCTGATTAATCAAAACAGGATTACAGAAGGGCCAGGCCAGGCTGGAAAGGGCCAGCGATGGTGCACTCTGCACACAGAGTTCATTTGGTGAGCTGCTGAATTTTGTTTTAGGGTTTACTGGTAGTGTGCCTTGCATGTCTATACTTTTCCTCTTTCAGGTACAGATAATGCCCATGCTTTAGAAACTGAGCACTACTGTTTGGAATAAATGCCTGTATGCATTTATTCCAAATAAATGCCTGTATGCATTTATTCCAAAATGCATAAAAGCATTCCAACTAAATCATTTCCAGCTCCTCATGAGGTGTTGGTAAACAGATGGACTTAAGTGTACCATTTTGTCATCTTTGGAGAAGTGGAGTCTTTCCTTTCACCGTTAACAAATACGGTGTTCTGCAAAACTGCTGAGTGATCCCTCATGTCTTAATGTTTCTTTTCGGTAGCTGCAAGATGAAATCTAAACTATTTGATCTGGAGCTCTTGAGGCTTCATGGAAGTTTTACATTTTACTTTTAGTTTTGGCTTCTTTCCAATAGATGGACCTTTTTTAGATGTTTGTATTAGAGTATCCTCTATTGGATGAGTGTTCTCTTTTTAAAGAACACACTGTACACAATCCATAATGTGAGAGATAATCTGCAACTCATTATCCTGCTTGTCCTGAAATTATTTTGTGATTCAATGTCATTTAGCTTTGCTCCTGTCTTTAACTCTACCAACCTCTAACCGGTTCAGTTTAGAGCTTTAAATCCTTGACTGAACAGAGTCATTTCAAATAGGGATGCACAATATGTTAACATTAATGGTCGGCAGTTGTCATGTTTTAACATCAGCCTCATAAGTAAAGTTGGGCTAACATAGTTAATGTTAGCCCAACTTTNGGGGGGGGGGGGAAATAGCTGGAAAAGTACTTTATAGAACACGTCTCCATTTCTTTTGGGATGTGTATGCTGCCTTTGCGTACACAAACAGAAAATCTTGCCCATTCCAATTGAAAAATAATCTCTTAAATTCAGTTGGATTGCAATGGAGGGGTTTAAAGATAAGGGATCTAATTAGATAGGCACTTTGACTTGGCCACTCTTTAAATTTTTATGCCATAATTCGAGAAGCACACATTTTCAGTCTGAAAGCAGGATTTCATTTCTTTTGTTCTCAAAACGTTTAATACTTGTACTTACATTTTCAGACGCTTGGAACAGAAAAGTACCGTTGCCTGGCAACCTCTCAGCCAATAGAATGAAAACGTTATAGTAGGTGCGTTTGTTTCTTTCTAGTGGGTGTGCCTGTGTGGCTACTATGGATTGTAGCAACCTGCGCTGCCCAGGATGGATAGATAAGATAAAATAAATTAAATTAGATATCATGTTGCGACTAAGTTCTAACACGGTTGGTTCTGTGAATCCATTTTCCTCGGTTGGATGAATAAACTCCTACCTAAGATCAGTTGGCTGTTGGTGATCAGTAGCAGCGCACTGCTGGCGGATATTTAGCGTAACACGAGGCAGAAAGCTGAGGTCGTTGTTTCCATGGTTGTTTCTCCTATACATCCAGTGGGCGGTGCAGGTTGCTGTTGCTAGAATCGATAGTAGCTACACAGACACACCCGAAACGCACCCAGCATAACACTTTAATTCTATTGGCTGAGAGGTTGCCAGGCGACGGTTCTTTTTCTTTTTGTTTTTTGTTCCAAGGCTAGCACAACATAATTCACAAGCGAGCAGCGAGGTTTGGAAGTGGAGCTTTGATCCAAGCAGAAACACGTTTTGAGCGCGGGGAGAAAGGTTTGAGAAAGCACAGTGAATATTTGAAAGAGTAGAAGTTGAGATGAAATTCTGTTTTCGAAACCATACCATATGCTTTGATATAGCTAAACAATTGTGGCTGTAGGTCTAGAGTTGTTCTCCTGGAAGATGAACATCTGTCACAGTCTCAGGACACTTGCAGACAAACTTTCTTCTAACCCGTGTTTAACTCTATCCTGTAAGCCTGACCAGCTTCCATGGCCCTCCTAAACAACAAATGGTGTGTTCAGGGTGGTGTATTGCGTAAGTTTGCACACCGGCTCCTGTCTAACCCTGTTTGATGTCAGGTCAATAATTTCCCACTAAATCAATCAGCTAAGCCCCCCCCCCCTTTTTTTTTTAGCTCACTTCAGTTTGGTCTCTAATACAAACAGAACTTAGTTTCACACAGACTGAAAATGGGAAACTTTAAATTAAACTTTCAGCCTCATTTCTATATTTAAAAAAAAATCTGTGATATACAGCACCTTCTTGTAATATGTCACTTTCACATGAATGTTAGAAAAAAAACAGAAGTAGAGGGTATGATGGAGAGTGACAGTCCCATGGTATTATTCTATTTTGGCTTTTCTTTCTGATAAAGCAAATGTATAAAAATATCTAGATGTTTTGAAGGAGTACAAGTTGCTGATAGTTGCATTTTTCCTGATTACACAATAGAGGGTAGAGAAGGGGGGCTTTGGTAGTTATGCAAACAGAACACATGTTTTCCATGACTTCTCAGAACAGGAGATTGATTTGATTTTAGTGGAACTATATTCTTTTGCTGTGAATTAACATTAAAAAGAAATAAATCCTTGCTATTTAACAATGCTTGGTTTGACTTATCCAAACTAAAAATTAAGTTTTAGAACCAAAAGTGGAGGTCCAGTTGGCTTACACAGCCTCAATTATTAAATGAAATGATTGAGGTGACACCAAGCCAGAACCAGTCGCAAATTAAGTGTTTGGCATTGCAGAGAGAACTTGGGTAATTTTTAATGGACACCACACATATACTCAATTCTGCGGCTCAATCCACAAATGCATTTCCATTATAAATGTGAGATAATTTAATGGGAAACAATCAGACGTGTGAGGAGTATATAATTTACTGCCAAGTGGCATTATTCTTATTTATCAGAACACCAAGAAGACTTGTTTTATTTTAGTTTGAGGTGAGAATGGACAGTAGTTACTTTTTTAAAATGTACTTTAAAAAACTGGAATCTGTGTAACTTGTCTGACTGTCTTTGTAGATTACAATAAAAAGATATTAGATGTGATCACCGGAGGATCTAATAAAATATTCGGCATGCTTTCACACTTTCCTTTAAATCAAACTAATATTAAACAACACAGTATGCACCGAGTGTTAAATTTACGGTCGCTATTATCACTGTTGTCTCTGTTGGCTTTAGCTGACCTTTCAGATCAATCATGTTACCGTCACCAGATCAAATTTCAGCTTGTTTTCTCCTGGACTTGGACGAAATGCACAAAGAAGTCAGAAAAACCTAAATATACTGTATGTGATCAGCTTGCAAAGAACAAGATTTTTCCAATGTTTACCACTGTGCGTTTCCTTTTTAAAATCCTGCCTGCACTTTGGGAATTTTCTTAGTTTGTTCATCAGAAAGGCAGACAGTGGTTTAATGTAAATAAATGTTTCTAAGTTCAGTAGCTGAAAAAGCATCTGAAGGCTCATCTTTATTTTCTGCTAACATTACTGATACCATAGTCCATTCTTGCTTTACTGTTAGTATGACGTTCTTCTCCTGGAACGCTGCATTTGCTTTATGTCAAACAGTTTTTCTCTCCTGGAGTCCAAATGATTCAGTACAAAGAACATTATGCCTGAAGTCCTGGTCTTTGTCTTTGCGCTTTCTGGCGAACATCGTTCTTAGAGAGTAAATGTTTATCCCTTGTAGTATAGATGGAAGCTAATTTTGTGCAGCGAGTAGGAGCCTACTGATGTTTTAGGGATTTTGGAAACTTCTTGTGGCATCTTGTCTGCTTTCTGGGTCAGATTGCTCAGACGGACATGCCTAAGAACCTTGCTTGTTGTTTTGAACCTCCTCCATTTGTACACAGTTTTTCAAGCAGTGGATTTGCTGATTTTTATCTATTTTTAGACCTTTCTGACTCACTTACCAAACCTGTTAGCTGCTACTGTTTTCTTTCTGAAGTGCCAAGTTAGCTCTTCACATATAAACCTCATGTTCACGCTCACTTCAGCAGCCAGCAACACACCAAACTAAATGTCTTAAATTTAAACCTCAGTCTATTGAGGAACAAAGAGGAACATCATGTGCATCTCACATGTAATTTTAGCTATCTTAAGGGGGAATAATGTTGAGATTTACAAAAATTATTATTATTAAAGGATTGTACAAAACGTTTTAAGCTTTAATTTTGTTTTAGGTTGTATTTATATTACTTGAACACAACCTTTTTTTCTTAGTGAAACCGATAAGACTTTCAGGGTTGCAGTTAGAAAGATTGAGGGTTTGTTTATGTATAATAAAAACCAATAGTAGTAACTTTGTTTGAACTATAGTGACTGAATTGTCATTCAGAGTACTGTCATGTGTTTTATGACTTACGATGACCATGTCTTCTTACGTTATCGACATCCACATGGTTTAGGAAGTGGTTTGCGTGCCAGAAGCTTGTCTTGTGACGAGGGGATCACTGCGGTCACTTATGCAAACATTATGGTATGATAGTATGATTTACAATCATGATTGACTTCTAAATGTTCTTCATCCTCCGAAATCCTGCTGATCCACAAACACAACAGCAAATTATTGAAACCTGAATTACAATGTAAATCATGCTTTGCTTGCTGAAGCAGTTCAGATTTAACTCCTTGAATGTGAATTCGTGTTGGTATTGTAATTCTGCATTTCTTCTCTGGACACATTTCAACCCAAAGACGCTGAAGAAATAAACTAATGTGCTAAATTTGGCTTTGCAGTCCTGTGTTCGAGTCCCGGCCTGCATGGAGCTTTCATATTTTCCCTGTGCATGAATGGCTTTCTCTGACACATGTTTCACAAACCCACATTTCTCTGATTACGTCCTCGCTTTTCTCTAATAACTTTCTAATGAGTCCACCTTCAAATTTGCAAACTGGTGAGGAAATGCATTTTTTAAAATATCCCTCCAAGGTTTCATGTGCAACATTTAAAATGTTTATATTTTTATCAGTTATGCCCCAGAGTGAAAGTTTTGTAATATTGTATCACATGCTGGAAGCTCTGGTACGATCTACTTTCTTCTGCTTTTGGGAGATTTTCACAATACCCAGAAAGATCACTGTGTTTCTGCTGAATAGACAGCAGATTTGTTTGTTTTCTGACCTCCAGCGAAGGGAAACATCAAATTTGCACCTGGACATTTATGATCACGCAAAAGATATTTTAACCTATTCGCACTTATTAAGCTTTTAAATATATTTTTCAAAATACAACAAAAATAATTATAGTACAGACTAACACTAAGTGCTGCATATGTGTAAATTGTATAGTTTATAAATTTTTCTCGCAAATAAAAATGTGAAAACCATGCACCCCTTCTTAGTCTTACCACTTTTCACATTGAGCAGACAACATCTTTGCAAAATATAGCGCCCGTCAAAACTTCTCACGACCTTGGATGTATTATTACTTGTATTGTTTTTGCAAAATAAATAAGTGATTGCATAAATATTCAACCTCTTTAAAGTGACTGACTTTTAAGGTCCAGCCAACTGGGGCCGGTAGTCTCACAATGAGTGGAATGGAAACCAAAAAAAACTAATTTTATTCTCGTGATTGATTTGTAAAAGCAAATAAAAATGAAAAAACATCCAATGTGGTAAATACTTTTAAGGTGCTGCAACTCGCATTCGGTCAGATTGAATGTAGAGCGAGTGTGAAAATCAAATTTCAAGTCGTCTCGATGGGATTCAAGTCTGAGTTTTGACTGGATCTTTTCGAAAACATGAATATTGTTTGATCTTAGTTTCCGTTGTGTCTCTGGCTGCTTCAGGTTGTTTTCCTGTTGGAAGGTGAGCCTGCGCCCCAGTCTTAAGTCCTCTGCAGAGTCTACCAATTTGTTTTCCTGGATTGCCCTGAAGTTAACTTCACATATTTTTCCGACAAACATGATTGTGCCACTGCCAGGTTTTACTGTAGAGGATGGATGTCGCATTCTGAACTTTTCTCCAAGAGGTTCTTGTCTTTTTCATAGAACAACAGGATTTATACTGAGGCAAATCCCATTTACTAAATAGGTGAATACTTTTGGGACTGATTGTTCCCTCCACCGTTGGGAGAAATCGCTCTCAAGGGAAAAGGCTTGATGGCCTGTGTGTGTAGATAGAGCTTGCCATCTGTCTTTGCTGTTTAACTTTTCACATTCTTGTTTTCCTAAATAAAAGGCCTGCTCTAGCATAGAGAGGGCAGAACACTCAGTGAAAGGCTCGGAGGAGCACTTTGCTGAAACTTCTCCTTTTGCAAACGTTTTGGCCATAAAACGTTTTGGCCACAGAAACACTTCTGTGGTTCTTCTATGTAGGTTTGGAAATTACCTATCATATAAACTGGTAAAGGTTTCATTGATTGAGGCGTTTTAAGCATTGTAGTGTCAGTAATTTTAATTTCCTTTCATTGCACTTCAGAATGAAAGTGCAATGAAAGGACTTTCATTCTGACTTCAAATAAATGATAATTTTGCTCATTTATTTCTGAGCAAAATGATCGGAATGGACGATATTCTGGAAGTCACATTGTCTCAAATTTTTAATTCTTTTGTTGAACTTTTCTCCATTCCTTGTCTTGTTTTATTTGTTGATTGCAGATTAAAACCTTCTCATTGCTGATAACCAAATGTCTCCATCTTGCAGAGTTTTCATCTCTTGAACCAGATGTTGTTGAGGCAGACTTGTACCTTTGAGAACATATCCTTGCATTATTCAGCATTGTGATCTGGTCTGAACTCACAGCCGGTTTTTATGGTAGTTTTATTTAGCGTTGGCTTCTCCTTTCTCACAGGATCAAACTTCTCAAATTTCACGTCAAGTACTTACATGATTTAATTCTTTCCTGCTCTTTAAAGCTGGGACATTACTCTGACACACTGGTCATAGTTTGGGCTTAGAGTTAGTATTTGCAAATGCAAATAGAAATTTAAATACTTGAAGCAACTCCGGCGCACATGTTCTCTCACCTGATAACGAACACGTGCTTGTAAAGCTACAGAGTATTTTGTAGGAGAGTAATTGTAGCGGCTAAAATCCTATATTTTAGGCTACTGGTGATTGTTGTTGAAAGGCGTTGGTTTTACGTGCGCTCAATTGAGATTCATGATGCCGATCTTCCGTTTGACATAAAATAAAGTCATTTATTTTCAGTACAATGTCCATTGTCTTACTGTTTTCCTTAAGATCCACATAAATTCGACATACATCCAAACCAAGCACAGTAGAAAACTGTTTGCCTCTACCTATTAACAACACCTGAACAGAACCATGGTTGACCTTAAATAACCCATCCCCCATCAGACACTCAGAACTCAATATTAAATACGCCCCCTGGTGGCGATAAACACCAAAAAGGATAAATGGCTCCTACAGTAATAGAAAAGCATTGGTATTCACACTTTAATGTTTACTGTGGGTCAGCCTCCAGCAGCCATTATTTTCCAGTGAAGTGAGTGACTTGGCTAAACCTGCACAGTCACTTTCCATGGCAGCATCCCTGTCTCCAGCCTCTCTTGTAGCTTCTGTGGCTCTGCGGTGTGGCCAGCCAGGAACGCAGGAGTGTATTATCACAGTAGTTAGTAGCCTGAGGATGAGGAGGGCTTTCTCTGCTGCAGAGCCGTGAGCCGCTGGAAAAGGGGGGACAAAAAAACATTTGGGAGGTACGTACAGGGTAAAAAGAGGAACTGACCTGCATAAAAGCAGCAGTAGTAGCCGGAGTTTAACAGTCGAGATCCTTCAGGGAGACAGATTTCAGTTGCTGCAAACAGAGAAAGGTGTGGCTGTTTTTTTTGTTTGTTTTTTTTAAAGGATATTGCCTTACTTTTAGGAAAAAAAAGTGTGTATTTCATCACTTCTTTGTGCTTAATTTAAGTGATTTGCTCTGTTTTTTGTTGTCTTTTTTTCCCCTGACGTCGACTTTAGCACAAGAAAATGACTGGAGGTTGCCTATTAAAATATTTATAACAGATATTTTCTTTTCCAGCTGTGATGATAATCATAATCTTCCATTCAAACATCAGCACAGAATAGTTTTTGGTCCTGACAAAACGGGAAGTGATGTGTAACCTTTATTCTCTCTGATGAAACTAACTGGTTGAAGACATTGCCTTCTCTTGTCATTTTTTTTTTTGCTAGGTTCAGAGTGCTGAGGCTGAAACCTTGTGGGAGGAAGTGCATGTTGACACAAAGGCCGGTGAACATGTCCTTGTGAGTTTTTCTGCTGCCGAGTGTTTTTTTGTGAGTGACCATGCAGGAACCACAGAACAAGTCAGTCCGACACTGGCTCACCTTTGCCACAGGCCTGGTAGAGTGTCTGTGCTTCGCCGGAGCTGTGTTTGGATGGGCTTCTCTTGTTTTTGTCCTCAAAGAGGAACGTTACTTCAGCTCTCTGTGTGTCAACGCCACAGGACTCAACGGCACGCAAACTCTGGGTGAGTTTTATCTGCTCTGGATTGAAAGTTTCATTTTGAGCACTAATTGTTGATATATATCTGTCTCTGTTTTGGCTGCAGACTGCAGCGCACAGGATGAACAGTTCTCGCTCGTTTTCACCATCGCTTCTTTTATGAACAACTTTCTGACGCTGCCCAATGGTTTTCTGTTTGATCGATTTGGTACCACAGTGGCTCGACTCTATGGAATGTGAGTAAAAATATCAAATATGAAGGAGCCAAAGATGAACAGCGCTTTAAAAATCAGTTTTAGACGGTAAATTACAAATAATCTGTTGGTTTGTACGCACAAAAACTGTAGCGCACAAAGTGACTAAATCATTTTGTGTAGATTTGTGACCAAGACTTCAGTGGGTGTAAACAATGCCGGAGAATACCCTTTGATTTCCTAAAAATTCAAAGGGTATATATGTCAAAGTGCCACAAATTGGCCAACATTGAACATTAAATATAGTGAACAAGAAGTTATAAATAGCTTTTAACTCTTTTTGTTCTTTTTCTTTGTTTTTTAAAGCACTGTGGAGACGCAGTAGTGTTTTCATGTGCTTCATATGCTCCCACACTCTTTTAACTTGTGTTTGCAATACGTCGACCTCTGAGTGCAAAACTAGTAACTTTAACCTATTGTTGATGTGGTTCAGTGCAATGAGGTGGCAAACATTGAAACTCAACAAATGTTAGTGTGATTACTGTAAGAAAGTTCCACCTGCAGCTTTCCTCATTTCACTGACAGGTGTCAGGATTCAGGTTTCACTCTGCATCATTACTGACTTGTTCAAATAAACTCATAATAAATATAATACATGCAATTTCTGCTTACCAAACTTCAACCAAAAGTGTCCAGATCGTAGAAAGAGAAACCCTGGACAAAGGAAATCTGGGTTGGGAGAAAGTCAAGATGGTGTGGTAATTTTAAGTTTTATATTTTCAGCATACCTTTTGTAAGCCTCTAATTTATCATCTCTAATAAATCAGCACAAAGCTGCTGATTTATTATGTCCACATCCATTGGTGTGGCCTGATACTTAGTCAACACATGTTTCCAATGAAAAAGGGAGGAGAAAAAATAAAGACCAAAGGAATGTAAATATCAACGGGTCAAATGGTGACGAGGATGAAGTGTGCTTAGCGCAATCCAAGAGTAGGAAATTAAAGTCTGCTGGAAGCAAATTAATCTGCATGAGAATCATCGTTTGCTTTGAATTTCACAGCGTTCCAGTTTTCCAAGCTTAAAATGTAATTTTTTTTTAATCCAAGTTGTTTCTCATCATGGTGTGAGCTGCGTCTTTGAATCCAAAAAACAACATTTTTCTGTCTCACTTTCAGATTCCTTTACACCATGGGCACCTTGATGGTGGGTTTCTCCTCATCAGGTAAAAAAAAAAAAAAAAATTAACAGTTTTCTAACAAATTAATAACCGCAAATTAGAAAAGTTTGTGATATCGGTTTATTTATCCTCTGTCAGCTCTGGCCTACCTGCTCTTCCCGGCTCTTTCTTTTCTGGCTGTTGGAGGAATCCTGTTTCTCATGACAAATATGCAGGTAATGTTCATGACAAACCAGGAGCGGCTGATTTGCTGCTCTGTAAAAGTACTAAGTTTGCGTTGTTGTCCTAGGGTTTGGACATAAAACTATTGTTCATCTTTAGGGAGATAAGGCTAATATAAATAACATGGAGGTTAGAAGCTAATGATAAATCATGTGATTCCTTTCTGGATCAAAACCCCGATCTGCAGATCTTTATCTAAAATGATTTATTTCTGATGGACTTTGAGGAGGAAATCTGCATTTCAGAATATAAATAGTTATTTACGCGCACATTTAGCTCATCCTGCTACTTTCTATGTAAAATTAGTCTCAATGGGTCGTGCAGTACTTTGCATATATTGCATCACTTAAAACAGCAGGACAATACTTGCACTTGTGATTGAAAGTAGGACCTAAACATCGTTAAGTGTTTTTTGTTGTTAAAGGGACTGAAGAGCTGCTTGTGGCTTCAGGTTGTAGACATCTGAACAAAAAACAGTGACATTAGTCAGGAACTGCTTTTTAATTCATCTATGACCCACTTTGTGAGGAAACACTGTTGCAAAAGACTTTATGTGACAAAGATTGTTGATGCCTGCATACCAGCGCTTCCGTAGTAGAAAAAAAAAAAAAGAAGTTCCTGTTTTTTCAGGCTGCTTCACATCTTTCATCCAATTCATGATGTTGTGCAGCAGGAGCACAAATCTCCTTAGGAAAGAAAAACCTGGTGAAACTCTACTTGTTTCACAGAGGTCCGCTCTGTAACGCAACAATAATCTGCTTTATGTCTCTTGAAGGTTGGAAACCTGTTTGGCTCCCGTCGTTCCACCATCATCACGCTCTACAACGGGGCGTTTGATTCTTCCTCAGCGCTCTTCCTCGTCATCAAGGTGAGATTAATTAGATTTCTTAAAATTTTTAATTTTTTATTAACACATATATGTGCCACTAATATTCTCTGTCACGTCTCTTTTTCTCTGCAGCTGTTGCATGAGTCTGGCGTCTCTCTCCGCGCTGCCTTCCTCTTTCTATCGGCCTGCAGCGTCGTCCACGTCCTCAGGACGTTCTTCCTGCTCCCCAGAAACTTTATTCCTTACCCGCTGCCGGATCGCTACACTTACGGGTACGAATAGGCTGCTGTAATCATCTTTAAAAATTCTATGAAAGAAACAAGAAAATGGGAGTCAGCAACGTGCAAATATAGTACTTTGTAAATATCCCCTTGAACTTTATCAGGTTTTGTCTCACTTATTCACCCACCTTGAGGTTGTTTGTGGTAGAACGATAGAAGTATTTTGTTGCAGGTTTCTGTTATTTATGCACATGTAGACGGTAAACAAGAAAAAACATATTTTCTTGTTTTTTAGAACAAGAAAATATGTTTGAGATGTAATGTGAGAAAATATCTGTTTCTCTGAATCAGCTATTTCAAAGAATTCATGAAAACTCGAGTCTTTTTCTCTAATCTCTCCCACATCCTCCGCAGGGTCTCTTGTGGTAAATCGGTGACTGCGAGCGCAGAGGTGGCAGCAAATGGTGATGTGCTTCCAGCAACTGAAGGAACGCCTCTCAAAAGGGACGCTCCCGTCAACCAAGGTCCAGCATTTAACAAAGCAAAATGAAGAATATTATTTACACATCTCTTTTATCAGGTGCAGATTTATTTATTTTTGTTGTTTTACTGCGTTTAGTAACTTTGTGCCTCTTTTTGCCCCCTCAGAGAAGACTTTCCGAGAGTGCTTGCTGTCCAGGTTCTTTATGTGGCACCTGCTCTGGCTGTCGGTGATGCAGCTCAGGCACTACCTGTTCATCGGCACGCTTAACCCCATGCTGCAGAGGCTGACCGGAGGAGAGCCCTTACTGGGTAAACACGTCGCTGTCTCAGTGTCAGATCCAAACGTTTGGACTGTGATACATACAGAAGTTATGTTTTTCCAGTTCACTCTGTATTATTGCGTATAGGTCTGCAAATGCATTTTCAGATCCAAATATAGATTTATATTGTCTTATTTTGTTAATAATGGGTCTTCCCAAGAAAACTGTGCATCAACCATTTATTTTAAAGATGCATTTCTGCGGACGACGTACATTTTCTGGACTTGAACGCATAAAATTGAAAAACTGTGCAGCAGGTTCCTTGAAGGAGATAATAGATTTAAATCCAACAGAAACCGAAGGACGTACGAAATTGTGAAAAATAACTGTAGTCTGATTTTCACTACTCTAAACGGTGCATAAACGTATGTGCTGATATTTGAGAAAACCTCAGTGAACAGATATGCAGTTATCAAGACAAATGAGATCAGAAATACTTTAGGATGCCAAAGAGTCTCTACCGAATACCAGGATTATCTCCTAGAGAATACGTTACAGGATATGATAAGTGTGGAAAAGTCTTAGATAGGTCAATAGTTCTCGATTTAAGAATGCAAAACTTGGATCTTTGTATTTCCAGCATCACAGAAAACCAAGCCACAGCTAATGACATTGAAATAGAAGAAGAAAAGTCAACAAAATCCAACATTTACATCACTGCCAAAACTGATGGCAAATTTTTCCAATGCATTCTGGGTATTTGTTACGTCAGACGGCTGGTGTGTTAAACATGTACATTTAACCATGTTGCTTCTACTCGTGCATCTGTGCAGTGAGCCGATACACCAACGCCTTTGCCATCACCCAGCTGTGTGGAGTGCTGTGCGCTCCCTGGAACGGCCTCATCATGGACCGGCACAAAGGCAAACCGCGAGCTGAGGGTGAGACGCAGTGAAAAAATGTATCTAATTAAGATGAAAATATGTCAGCAACGACATTTTCCAAAAAGTAAAGGAGACTATTTACTTGTCAAATCAACAAGTTGATGTTTTCTGAATAATTTCTAAAATGACATAGATCTGTATTGATGATGTATGAAGTTGATTTTAAAACTATTTAATTCACACAAATTTTAGGATCGCACCTGACAAGAGCAATAACTGAAACAAAACGCATGGAGACAAATAAAAACATCAGTTACTTGTTTGTGGTTTAAAAATAAATGATTTCGGTCATAAAATTTCTGCTTGCCTCTTAGTTATTGGAGGAAAAAAAATGCTGTTTATTCATATAATCTAAGGGATTGTTAATATTGTATTTAAACTTCTCTCTTCACTGCACTGTCTGCCTGTTTATGCTGCAACAGCAGGAGGCCAGAAATGACAAAATGGAGTCACTAAGCTTCACAGGAGGATCTATATTTGTCTGTTTATAGGGGAGACGGAACAGGAAGCCGACCTGCGGGCGACTGTGCTTTCTTTATTCCTGACGGCGCTGCAGTGTGTCTTGTTCTCTCTGTGCGCCTCCACGCCTTACCTCCCGCTTCAGTACTTCACCTTCATCCTGCAGGTGCTGAACCGCTCCTTCCTCTACGGCGGAAACGCAGCCTTCATCAGCGTGGCGTGAGTACGGACGCATTTGCAGGAATTGCCAGGGTGCTGAGACTTAATTTAAAGTCCTTTTGTGTAATTTGACAGTGAACGCACAAACATTTCGTAGTTTATGATTGTCTTTTTGTTTTTGGTGACACGAAGAAACTGAAATGTTTTGGGTTTGTTTATTACTGTTTTTGATGCCAAAAGAATGATACACTATGTAAAATGCGTATATTTAGCATACCTCTCCATTCATAGAATTTAAAAGTTTATTTATTTCAGTGGCTCATAAATGAAACACATTATACGGACTAATTACTCACAGGCTCGTGTTTTGAAGCTTTTATTCTGGCAAAAGTGATGATTTTCCACTTATAACTGAAACATTACATCAAACCTATAAAAAACATTTTTTACTACAGCAATGAGGATTTAATGGGAAAATATGTTCAATACCTTAAAGTTTAAATGTTATTTTTATTCTGACAGCCGGCTCGTTTATCGGTATCCAAATCCAATTTTTGTTCAGTTTATTTAAACTGCAGAAATTCAAAACAAACGTAATCTCAAACCATTTTATAAAAAGACAGTTTCACTCCTGGTTATATAGAAACCGATTCTGTCCCAAACACGTCGTCATGTTTAGGTTAAATAGCAAACAGCACAGTTCAATCTGAAATACAGCTGTTGTCAGTTGATGATGTAATCCAGATTGTTTCAAGCTTGTCTAAGGAAGTCCAGCTGATTGCATTAAGGTGTCAGTTTACAGGAATCCCTCCTGCTGATCAAGCTTTTGGTCTCAGAGCTCTGTTAGGTTCCTCCTGAAATATATTTGGTGCTGGCTTTGTCGTGTTTAATTGATCATGCATGTTTACGGCTAATTTGTTGCATCTTTGTAGGTTTCCATCTTGCCACTTCGGGAAGCTGTACGGTCTGGTCATGGCTCTGTCTGCAGTGTTTTCTCTGCTGCAGTATCCCTGCTTTGCTCTGGTGAAAGGACCTCTGGGTGGAGATCCTTTATACGTGAGCACAGTTTTCATCTGTATCGGCTGTATGTTAATTCAGCTGTGAACCCTCCTCTCATGGCCTCCCCTCTTCACGTGTGTGCAGGTGAACGTCGGCCTGACGCTGCTCAGCGTGGTAGCCTTCATACATCCCGTCTACGTCTACATGCACTGTCGAAATCTCGCCTCTGAGAGAGCAAGGAGCAAAGCCTCGTCTTAAAGAGCGCAAAACCAGGATGGTGATTTGTGTTTAAAGCTTTCCGCCTTGGTGGTTGACTACCATTTCCTGACTAGAAACTAGAAGAACTTTATTTTCAGTAAATTTTGTGATGATTTTACAGTTTCACCTTAAGCCAGAGTTCTTTTTATAGATAGTCCTAAGTGTCCCACAGAGGATCTGTAAAGGCATAAAATTACAAATCCTCACAGTCAATCGAGTTGTGCCGATCTGAAATCTCAGGAGCAAACGGTTAATTCCAGACCAAAGTCTCATCTAAAAAATCTGTGTATAATACAGGGCTTATATTTTATCCACACACTCAACCTGTTAGAGCCTTTATGATCATTTTTCACTACCTACTCTAGCAGCATTTAGATATGTGATGTCACAGTTGAGGGACAGAAAGCATGCATAAAGCCTTTTCATGTAGATAAATAACTTGCTGTCCTCTTCTAGGATAAAAACAACCTTTTCACAGATGGCATTTGAATTAAAACCTGCCGTCCATGAATGCAGGTAGTGAAAAATGATCCATGAATGCAGTGTTATGTTCCTCTACACTCTGGGATAATGAAATTGAACTAAATAAATAAATACAACTAAGGAAAATGTCGAGCTTTGGCGCAGCAGGTTTTTTGTCACAAATTCAACATCAAACCTGCATAAATAAATCAGGAATAACGTGGAATGACAATCTTGCCGGTAACGTCTTGTTTTTGCATTTCAAACAAATTCACATACATGCAAAGATGCATGTATACAAGTAGAGACGCCCTGTCAGATCAAGAAAAAAGGGATTTTAAATTAAGAGGGAGAAGGAAGTTTTACTAAAAAAGTGAACGTTTGTTTCTCTTCTTTATCTTTTGCAAGTTTCGCTTCATTCTAACAACTTTTTTATGTGTTTACTGTCGTCTGATGCTTGAAGTAACTATTTTTTTCCTTTTTGCACAGATATTCTGCGTAGGTCAGTCATTGTTTTTCTGCGCAAGTCAGTCATACGTTTTACTTAAACAAATTTGTTGTATGTTTGTTGTTTGATCCCTAATATGTGACATTTATTGCTAAAAGTGAAACGGCACAAAGCTTATTTTTATTAAGAAACAGACTAAGGACCATTGCAGTGACCTTAATAACAAAGAGTTCAGTATAAAAGTTACTCAGTAGAGATTTGAACTGCTTCATCAGAGAGGAAACATCTCTGCCCTCTGCTGGCTGCACTTCAGATGTATTTCCTTCTGACCAGAAAAAAAGTTTATTTTTACTATGTTGAAGTCGCTTTGTTGTCATTATTTCAGTGTTTTATATTAAACATAGAGACATATAGACATACTGTGTTAAAACATGTAGAGGATCAAAAAGGGACATTTTATATTCTGAGGGAAAATGCCAAGCTAAAGCTGATCAGTATTTTTTTTAAATGATATATTAATATTGATATAACATTGCTGAACAAAATGTAGCTTTTGATTAAATGTGTGATGAAGGGAATTCATGTTCTTCACCTTCTGCTGCTTTTGTTAAGCTGAGGTCAACTGCCACCTACAGGTTGTGAAAAAAAGTGCAATTGTACCATTGTTTTCATGGAATGTGACTGATGGACACGGTCTACGTACAAAAATAAAAACCTGATACATTTCAGTTCTCAGTATGTTTGTTTTGCTGAGTTAATCTGAGAGTTTTCCAAAAATGCATTTAACTTTGATAAATGTGCAACTGGATTATTCTTCCATTTCAGAAGGAGGAATTGTAAAGTATTGAAGCTCCAATATTGACTGACAATCTCCTTAGGCCACTTAACTTCTTTTTTTTTTTAATGGATGCTATCTATTTTGTGAAGAACATTAGTCCCTCCTGCAGAAAGTCATCCTTTAACTTGTTACTGTCGTCCTTGTACTTCTCAGTTAAATGATGTTCTCAGGTTTACAAGCTGCCATATTTTCTTTCCGTTTGAAAATATGGTCGGTTTGGTCAAACGCCAAAATTTTAGTTTCATCAGACCACAGCATAGCTCTGGTTGTGTGATGTTTTTAGAAAAATGGCTTCTTTGAAACTGAGTGGCCTGTCAGACTTTAACATTCAGAGGTTCCTCACAAAGTCAGAACTCAAAGTCTAACATTGCTGCCACCATTATACAGCATATTTATTCTTGGATTATTTACCTGCAATGACACTTAAAGTTCTGATAGTCATCGAAAGCATAAAATACAAGCAAATACTTGACAAATAATGGTTTGTTTAATGAACAGAGCAGTTAGCTGGTCGCTGAGCACAACTATTATCTAATGCTGCTGGGTTTCCAACTCGCAACTGAAACACTAGAAAGTTAGGTGTGATATCAATGCATCAATCAAATAGACTGACTTGTTTTTAACTGTACATAAAAAAACAGAAATATGTTTCTGCTGAAAAATAGAGATAAAGGAAAATGGAATCTGAGTTTTTACGTCTGAAATAAATTTACCAAAATTAAACTGGAAACAAAGATGAAGAATCAGAAGAATTTGTGGTCTAATAAATGAAGTGTGTCAGTGCAATCAGTTTTCAAAAGAAAAAACAGAAGTAATGGGGGGGGGGGAAGGCAAAATGCTGTGGATTCAAACACACCATGAAAAGGAAAGTTGCACAGGCAGGTTTCTGGCTCCAGAGGGAGCTGGACAAGAGCTGATAAACTGTTCAGAATGTATTTATTTATTTTTTTTTTACATTTTCTGGCAGTTTTACACTTTAAAGTGATAAATCTCAAATGCAGAGATATTATGAATTGCAAAAATGTGAGATTTGCAGCCACTTCAGAGGAAAGAGGAAGTCACAACAGAAAGGTTTAGATAAATTTACACTGTTAAAGTGATTCTCATGAAGCATTTTGTAAAACAGATGTTTGATAAATCATTTAATTAAAGGCACAGTGGCAAGACAAACAGCATCAGGCTCCTTGATTTATGATGGGACTTGTATTATTTTTGCTAACCAATATAACTCAAACATATTTTTAATTTCTTTGCACTCTTTCTGTTCTGCTCTCAGGCCTGCTCAAGCTACGCCTTCGGGGTTAAAGCGGCCATTCAGACATAAACATATTAACTTGGTTTGAGAAGATGTTAATCAATAATCCCACTGACATTCAGGCTCATTTTCATTTCAGTCACGTTCCATCTTGTGGTGTTTCCCAGTATAGGTTAATGTTTGTGCCTCCTAACCGTTTCATCATTTCACATGCTTGGCTTCAACCCTTCATTTGACATACCAAAGCTCTTCTTCTTCACTCTAATTCAAATGGATCAAATTCTTGTCAACACAGTCAACGTTTCACTGTCACATTTTAAATACTGATGAGACCTATCAGTGTTTCCATCTGCCTGTATATCCATAGTGTCTCCATCACATGACGCTGTGACAGAAGCTGCCCATCCAGACCTTGCAGCGTCCGCATCAGTCGCCCACGTCTTATGGCTTCTTTGGTTTGGCTGTGTGACTTTAAACAGGAAAGATTATTCTACACAGAGACTAACACCCCGAGGATGAGGCTTTTTCAGAGGGAGGGAGAAGAAGAAGACTGCAGAAAAAGAGAAAGAGGGAGGAAACTGTGAGGAAGAGGAGGGAAGAACTCCTAAAGGAGGAGAGCGTGACCCGAGAAAGAATCTGTTCTTCCTGAAAGTATGTAGGGAGGCAATCTTGACCTGAGGCAACACTCTCAGAAAACTGCAACTTGACGAAGGTTGGTTTGTTTTTGCAGGTTTTCATGTGTTTGCAATGCAAAATGGTTACTTCTGCATATATCTGTGACTTTAATTGTTAGTTTTTGTCGCTGAAATGTGTTTCTGCAGCGTTCCCTGCAGGCTCACAGCAGATATTTTCTGTTCTATCTCATGATATTGCTTTCAGCGTTTCATCTGCTGAGCTTCTTCGTCATCTGTGCCATAAACTTGTTCAAACCTTTTTTCTCTTTAAGGAAACCAGAAAAGTAAAAACATTTTCTCTTGTCTTGGTTGCTAGGAGGCAGGCGCAGAAACTAAAACTGCTTGTGTGAATGAGTTTGTGAGTTTTTTGTTGTTGTTGCTGCTGATAGTTGTATCTGAGTGAGCATGCAGGTGTTGGAGAACAAGTTGTCGGTGCGACACTGCCTCACCTTCGTTACGGGCCTGGTGGAGTGTCTGTGCTTCGCCGGCGCCGTGTTCGGATGGGCTTCTCTTGCCTTTGTCCTCAAGGTTGACGGCTACTTCAGCTCTCTGTGCTTTAACACAACAGGAGTCAATGACACTCAGATATTAGGTCAGCTTGATGTTTCCGCTGCTGCTGGTTTATTCGTCACAATTTACTCAATTTTAAAGCTTTAACTGTAAATATTGCTGCATCCTTTTCAAAATTATTACATAACCTGTTTATCAATTATGCATCTAAATGCGCCGCTGTCTTATTTGTGTCTTTCTCTGCTTTACCAACAGACTGCAGTGCACAAGATGAGCAGCTTTCACTTATTTTCACCATCACCTCCTTTATGAACAACTTCCTCATGCTGCTCAATGGCTTCCTTTTTGATCACTTTGGTACCACAGTGGCTCGACTGTTGGCAACGTGAGTAAAATTGTGTTCATAAGCCACAGTTATATGCATTTCTTTGCTGCATGCTCCTGTAAAACTTTCACTCATGTAGAGACTTACAGTGCCTACCTTTAGTCAACTGGGATTTTATCAAAAAGTCTCAGTTTAAATACAGATGTTCTGGTTTGTTGGAAACCTTTGTGCACATCAGTCTGAAAACATCATGGGGAAGCAAGATGTTGGGAAGCTGCACAAACTTGCTATGAAAATATGTGGAGCTAAAGTCAGGGTACTTCTAAGAAAAAAAAAAAAACTGCAGAAGACTTTAGGGTTTTGTTGACATGACAGCCATCAGTTTGTTCTCTTCACTAACCCGATCTCTGGAGCAGATTCACGCTGCTGAAAGACAGCAATCTTCAACTTTACGGCAAAACTCAAATTCATTTAGATTCAAGTCCGTTTGCCATGCAGCGCAATGTCGATGTGAAGTTGGAAAACGTCGGGGCAAACAACACAAAGCATGAGATTGTTCATAATACTTCATAGCAACCTGAACATGTGAGAAAATATCAGATTCTGGTTTGCACAGAACATATTCTTCTTTGTTTCTGATAAATACGTTGACAAAAACAAATTAAATGTCCACTCAGCTGATCAGACTGTTGGTTGCAGCTGGATCAAAACGTCACAAATCTTTTCTTCTGTTGTGTCATTTCCCCTCAAAAACTTTCCGACAAGGACAAGAGATGATGTCGGTGATCCGGTTGAAAAAGGAAGAAAAATGATAATAGATCTTGAAAGATCTGCTTTATTTTTTATTCATTCTAAGACATTCCTGTCTCTTGACAGATTTCTTTACACCACTGGCTCCCTGATGGTGGCGCTCTCTTCACCAGGTGAGAAACAATAATGATTTCTACCAGCTTAAAAAAGCTGCTGCGTCTCTTTCTTATCTTCTTCTCCTTTCCCACCAGCTCTTCCTTTCCTGCTCTTCCCAGCTCTCCCCCTTTTGGCTGTGGGAGGCATTTTATTTCTGATCACAAACATGCAGGTACGTTGGGTTTCCCACATGACTGTCAGCACAATTTATTTTTTCTTGAAAGATCAGGAATGACTGTGCAGCAGTTCAGGCTGTGAGTGAAGCTTTTGTTGCTTGAATGACGTCTTTTAACTCTGTGAAAATGTTAGGCGCATTTGTTTGCCTGAAAGTCAGATGAGAGGACTTGAGCTGTAACTTTTTTAGAGGTTTTTAGTGGAAGAGCTTCATTCGCAGGCGAAACAGACGTTGGCAGTCCCACGACTTTCTGGCTGCAGGGGTGATGAGTGCAAATCAGGACAATGCACAGATGCACAGACTAAAACACTTTCCAGACTTTGAAGAGTGCTTAGAATACATTATTAACTCAAAATGCCTTGCAGTGTTGTGCATATTTACTATAGCAGCTCCATAAAGGCTAAAGATAAAATAATCTACTTTTCATTTTAGGAAAAGGTGCAACTTAAAGTCCTTCCTCTGACTCATCTTTTTAAACATCTTTTCTGGGGTGTCTAAAATAGTATTATTGTCAGTAAATGATCCCCTAAAGGAGGCCAGAGAGAAAACACATGACAAGGAACCACTTATTAACTTCTCCATGACCCACTTTCCAAAGAAATGCTCGTCTTTGGGTAATTTTCTGGCTGATTTTGTGATATCGGGCTTATGATCTTGTGTAGATTGACCACCAGTTGCCTCAGGAAGAATTCATGCTTAGCAGTGTTGTGTTCAAGACCACACCCCCCCTCCACCCCCATTTTGAAACTGTTTGTGATTTGTCC